TGCAACGCATTTATGAGTGCACACGAGTGTGTCCGATGGAGGAAGAGGAGTGGGGGAGGGTCTTCATCATCTTGTCATGTGCAGGAAACATCCTGAGTAATTAAACAATGCCAAAAATCAACTTTCATCAGGGATACGAGAAGGGTTCATGTGTCTTCTTCTTCTCTCAGTTTATTTGAGTCCTCCAAGCTTCAGGAGCTTGTCTTGTAGTTCCTCCTGCGGCCACAGGTGGCGCTGTTTTGTTATCAGTGACAGCAAAAACAAGCAGCCATGATGTTTGTAGTTTTTTTATGGACTTGTAATTTCACTGAAAATCTGAAACGTTTCTTATTTGTCCATGTTTTCTCTTTTGTAGTAGCTTTTCCCCCGTTTTTGCTTCTCTCGGGTTGTCTTGTGCTAGCTTTGTGACCCTTTGAGGGCATGTGTAGTTGGAAAAGTCCCCTCCATGTAACTGTTTGTGCCTTTGAGGCATTTAAATCATTTTTGTTTTTTATTATTTTTAGACTTAATTGGCTTTTTAGGACCCTTTATGAGTTTTTACATTTTTTTGCTGTTGTTTTTCCTTGTAAAGGTTGTTTTTGTTGGGGGGTCATGTTGTTGTTGTTGTTTTTCTTCATTTCTTGCATCAATTTGATTCCTTTTTCATGTTTTTCTCCTTCTTGTTTCTGTTTTTGTTGGTTTTTTTTGTCAAATTTGTTCCATTCTTGTTTGTTTTTTCTGTCATTTTTTATTTTTTCACAGTTGTCTTTTTGCTTTTTCCTGCTTGCGTCTATCTGCTGTTCAGCAATCGCTCTCCGGGGTTTAATAGCTGATGTATGAGGGGACATTTTTAATTCTTTTTCTTTGCAGGTCGCGATTGCCTCTTGCAGGCATTAATCTGCATGTTTCTCATTAAATGCGATGCAGATGAAGGAGGCTCAGGTGTGCTGGGGCTGTAGGTGAGATCCTTCAGCTGCTTCCAGCTCGCTAACATTAACAGCATGTTTCCCATGATGCTGTCTGACAGTAGCAATTATCACAGTGCTCTCTGCACAGTGACAGCCCTCGCGCTCCCTCTCTCTCTTTCTTTGTTGAATGCTCGCTCGGCCAGTGTGCAGCCAACCAGCTCTGAATAATGACAGGCGGGGGAGGGGCTCCCTCTCTCCCCCTCTCCTGCTCAGCGGCACAGTCCAGAGGACGGACAGACGCCCAGTTCTTCTTCCTGCGTTCATCTCTGCATCGCGTTCCCTCGTCTCTGTTTCTTCTTCTTTGTTGGGACGCTCTTCATCATCTCCTCCTCCTCCTTGTGCTCCTCCTCGGGGCTCCTGTTGTGGGATGGTGGTGTCCGACAGACGGACACACTGAAGGAAAGTTGTTTGCATCTCTTTGATTGGCTGATTGGCTCAAACGCAGCGGGTGGACTCAAACTTGACATCCCACTCATGAATTCTTTCCATCGTAACCATAGCGACTGGCATCCTTGGCGGCAGCGGCGGTCTCCTCATCATGCTTTGAGACTTTAGAACTCTTTGTATAATCATAAGGTTCGTTACCGCGGCAATCAGGATGCAGGTGTCCATAGCATGTAACATGGGAGGAGGTGGGGGCGGTGGAGGGGCCAGCGAGCACCAGCTGAAGGAGCGGAGGGCGGCGGCGAACACCAGCAGCGCCCCCATCTGCCAGGTAAAGGTCAGGGCCGAGCCTTTGGAGCGGAACACCCTGCTAGGCCACGCCCACATGAAGGAGGCCCTCGGGCGTTATAGCAACATGAAGTACAGGTGAGGCAGTGAGAGTGACACAAAGAGGTGGTCATGTGACCCGACAGGTGCAGAGCGTGACTCAGGTTCATGTTTCATACACGTGTGTTTGTGTGTGTGTGTACCCGGGGTCGTTCTGTCAGGACCAACAACAACGAGCTAGTACAGCAAACCGATCAGAGATATTGATCCGCCGCCCCCTCCCTGGCATTGATTCTATATTGCTGATTGATGCGTTTGATAGAGCCGATCAGGTGACATGTATGTAGTCTGAATACTGATTAGTCGGGTTAAATATTAATGGTCTGAAGCCAGATATTGATACGAGTGTGCGTCTCAGGGCGACTCGTCTCTCAGATATTGATGACTCAAAGCGAGGCTCAGAATTGATCCTGATTGAATATTGATGAATTCATCGTGGACTGTGACCTGGACTCAGGCGTTAACATCAGTCACCATAAACATGAAGCACATGCAGTGAGCTGACACCAACCTGGGCACAGACTCACGAGTACCTCGGACGTCTGTTTGACTCACTTTCAGATTATGACTCACATATGAAGATCAGAGCTTGTACCAGACCAAGAATAAAGTGGACGTGGACATAAATCTAACACCAGGACTTCATCACTGACATAAAAGTGTCCCATCTAATGATTTTGTCAGGATTTGCATTTGGACATGAAACTTTGGATGTTTATTTGACATGATTATTGCTGACTATGATTCTCATGTTAGCATTGAAAGCTTGGTCTCAGGTACTAAAACCGATGACTTGGAATCTCCGTGTCTTTCTACCTGTTGATCCTGACTTCACGTACATCAATGACTTGATTTTGACTGAAGCACAAGTGACTCGGACTCTACTGACACTAACCTGGGCCTTAATGTCTCAGACGTGTGCATGAACGTCTATGATTTGGACTCAATCAAACATATAATATCAATCACATTTGACTTGCCAGTTTTCTTAAACGTGATTATTGAGGACCTGGACTGTCACAGCCAGAGCAAGACTGACGAACTCAGACCGGAGCTCACACGTAGGCACAGAAATGGTTTACAAGATTTACAATGAATCACGTTATTGACATCCGGCTATGAAGGAGTATTGATGACAGCGTTGCTTGGTTTCATGTCTTGGGCTAAGACTACATTTTAAAACCAGTGGCTTGGATCTGGTATGAATCCTGTTGTCTCAAGATGAAAAATGACTTTATTTGAGAAACAATCTCGAATTATGCGTCTGCGGGAAATCAATGACAAAACTCAGGGCATAACTGGAAACTACTTTTAGCCCCATATTCTTCCGCGTCACCTGACGTGAGCCTCCCGAGAATGCGGCTAAACGCAGACTCGATGCAATGACTGGATGATTTGTGAGGTTAGAGCACTGGGTTAAAAGAGGTTTCCACTTACATCACAAGTTACAGTATACATTTCCTGCAGAAGTCTAAATCACGCTTTGGTTGTGGACTTGGACTACATGCATGATTCACTTGACTGTAATTGATTTTAGACTTGACCCAGACTTGGAAATAATGCCTTTGAACTGCATGATAAACTCTTACTGTGTGCTGACTTGTTTGAAGACGGTGGAAC